GTAGATGAACAGTAGTCGGCTGCTCAAAAATGCCATTTTGGCAAAAGGGAGTGCCGACCGGCAATAAATAGTGCCGACCGGCAATATACATTGCCGATGGCAGCAAAAACCAGCCGGTGGCCTCTGGCTATGGCCGGTGGTGTGTGGGGATGCCTCACAAGGCATTCTCTGCCCCTCCAAGGCAAAATGCAAGTGTTTGGTGCAAAACCAGACACTGAACAGTCAAGTTCGGAGATCCTGAAGCAAGGCGCGTAGCCGAGACCTCCGGGAATTCCAAACGAACACAAACATGGATAATCACCAAATGTTCCAACGGTGACGTCCAAGTCTTGAGGATGGTCAAAAATGGGGTGTCTACATTAGGCAATAAATTAGGATGAAAATTTGGCTTATTACACGACAATTCCCACTGTGAATTGCAACATACCCATAAAAATTATGACAGCAGGTAATTTCTCTTAAAAAACATAAAAGCTAAAATATATTGAACTAGAATTGGAATTGTAGAGAAACCATGCCCCTTTCAACTAGAATTAAATGAGTACTTTTATGTTTTTATTCACCATTAGTAATGTAATGTTCATTTTTTTGATAGGTTGTCATGTAATGTTCCTATTCGTTAGTATTGTCATGTTTTACTTTTATAAGCTTATCTATGCTTATGTTCAAATCAATTCCAGGTGAACGAAATTAAAGGCAATGCTGTTTGGGAGGTTCTTGTCACCACATGTATATATTCCATGCAGAGAACTGGTGTTGACACAGGTTGTGGTAGATGATTGTCATATATTCACTTGATATTTTCTCAACTCTTGCTGTGTTTATACTAGAAGATGTTGTAGCAGGCTGCTCTTCGTTTTAACTTCATCTAGTTTTTCAATAAAATTTTCTTTTGGTGACAAAAAAATGAATGATACCAGGGATTCATTATTTCCTGTTGCTTACATTGCTTTAATCAGCTTCATACAATGCTTTTAATACCTTTTTGAAACTTATGAAACCATTATGAAAAATTTGAGAGAAGTTGACACAATTGATTAGTTAGAGTTAACAAAAATTCAAATTCAAACATTTTGCTTACTAATCTGCACATGTACTTATGTTAGATAAAAAATAAGAAAAAAGATAGAACAAGGAAAAGAAACTAAATTTCTAATCTAGGAATTATATGAAGCCTTGAAAATGCAACTCTATTTGAAGAAACTACAATAAGAAAGGAAGAAACCAGCCTCGGTTGTATAAAATTATTCATAAGACACCTATACCCAATTTAAACACTAGGATCTTTTAATTTTATATGATAGGTGAAGAAAAGACGCTCACTCCGGTTAGAATTGGAGAGGAAACTTGCCCCTATTGAGTGGTATTGAATAAGTACTAACCCATTAGTATTGTCATGTTTTTATTCGTTAGTATTACTTTCATATTCCTATTCATTAATGTCATGTTTCAATTTTATATGTTCATGTTGCAAGTTTTCTGAATGAATCTGTATATTCAATTGTGTTTCTTTATGAGGAGGTCACCAGTTTATATAACCCTACACCTATGACTAAAAAAGAAAAATATGAAAAAGAAAATATAGCCAAGTAGTTACACCACAATCTTTCCTAATTCTATACACAATATAATCTTCCCTAATTCTATACATAATATATTCTCACACCCCCGCTCAAACTTAAGTTGTTTTAGCAGAAAACCCTGAGAGTTTGCTTAGAAGAAACTAAAACCGAGCGGTAGTGTGAGTCTTGGTGAAGAAGTCTGCAAATTACAAAGCCGAAGAGACAAAAGGAAGCGAGATAGAGCTAGACTGCAGAGGCTGTCGGACAAAGTGACGATCAATCTCAATGTGCTTCGTCTGTCCATGGAAGACAGTATTGTGGGCAATCTGAATAGCACTACAGTTGTCACAATAGAGGCAGGTTGGAGAAGACTAAGGGACACCCAAATCAGATAAGAGACAATGAAGCCAAACAATCTCAGTAGTAGCATGAGCCATAGCATGACACTCAGCTTCGGTTGTAGGGCAAGCAATAACAATTTGTTTCTTGCTTTCCAAGAGATCAAGGAATCGCCAAGAAACATACAGAAAACCAGACGTGGACTTGCGATCAGTAACATCACCAGCCCAATCAGAATCAATATAGGCTACCAAATCCAGAGAGGAAGTAGAGGATGATGGTAAACCCTAAAAGATAGTACCTTAGAGATAACGAAGAATTCGAACCAATGCAGCCCAATGTGAGGAGTGAGGAGTAGAAACAAACTGGCTAACCACATGAACAACATAGGCAAGATCAAGACGAGTAACCATCAGATAAACTAAGCAACCCACAAGCTCGCGATGTAAAGTGGGATCATCCGGAGGGACACCATAGTAGAGTTGAGCTTCACATTAAGCTCAGTAGGTGTATCAAAAACCTTAGTATCAATAAGACTAGCACGGTGAATGACCTCATTAGCATACTTAGTCTGAGACAGAAAATAGTCTTTTGGAGAAGAAACAACTTCAATACCAAGAAAATACCACAAAGGACCAAGATCCTTCATCTCGAAGGTGCAGGAGAGACGCTACTTGACCTCAGAGATAGCAGAAGAGTTAGAGCTAGTGATGATCATATCATCCACATACAGTAATAATGCAACAAATCCAACTAAGGTGTGGAGAAGAAATGAAGCAGAGTCTTGGGCATAAGGATGAAACCCAAGCTCAGTAACAACAGTTTGAAAGCGATCATACCAAGCACGAGGAGACTGCTTCAGACCATACGGAGCATGCCAAATGCAACAAACCTGTCTAGAGGAATGGTGAAGGCCAGGGGGAGGACGCATGTAAACCTCCTCAGTGAGATGGCCATTAAGAAAAGCATTCTTAACATCCATCTAATAAAGAGGCAAAGAACGAACAGCAACAACATAGATCAAAGTACGGATAGTAGTCATCTTGGCAACAGGAGCAAAGGTCTCCTCATAATCAATACCATACTCTTGTGAGAAACCTTTGGCAACTAGACGAGCTTTGTAGTGCTCAAGAGAACCATCGGAATGAGTCTTGACTTTGTAGACCCATTTGCAACCAACCAAATTCTTACTAGCAGGCAAAGGAGCCAACTCCCAAGTACTAGTTTTCTATAAAGCAGACAACTAATCCTCTATAGTTTGAACCCAATGAGGATCCTGACAGGCCTCCTTGTAAGACTGAGGTTCTGCAAAAGAGTGAATAGCAGACAAAAAAGTACGATAGGAAATAGAAAAATATGTATTAGACCAACCTAACCTGTTTGGAGGATGGTGCGCTTGAGTAGGATATTGATGTGCAGCAGGATCAGAGTTGTCAGAAGCAGGAGGATTAGCAGTAGGGGTAGAGACAACTGGTGAAGGAGGAGCCTTACGATGAGAATAAACTAACAACGGAGGAGAAAAAGAAACTGAAGAAGGAGAAGCAGCTAGAGGTGAAGCATGAGGAGAAGATGGAACAAGCTTAGGGTGAACTGTGGAGATGTACTCATCAGATGGGACCTCATAAGGAACTGGATCAATATGAACCAAATCCTTTTTGAAAACTGGGGTGGTGAGAGGAGGAAGCTGAAAGTAAGGTAGGCGTTCGAGAAAAGAAACATGACAGGTGACATAAAGACGATGGAAAATAGGGTCAAAACATCGATAGCCTTTATGAGTAGAACTATAACACAAAAAGACACAGAGGACAGACCGGACACTAAGTTTGGCCCTATCTTTGTGGGGAAGAAGGACAAAATAGGCAGACCCAAACACACAAAGTTGGGAGTATTTAGGAATTTGGGAGAACAAAGCCTCATAAGGAAACCGACCAGAAAGAAGGGGAGTAGGTATGCGGCTGAGAAGAAAAGTAGTAGTAAGAACTGCCTCCTCCCAAAATGGAGCTGGAACTGAGGCAGAGAGAAGAAAAGACCTAGCTGTCTCAAGGAGATGACGGTGTTTACGCTCGGTTCGACCATTTTGGGTAGGTGTATCTGTACAAGAAGTTTGGTGAATGGTATCCAAATTAGACAAATACTCGCAGAACTCATTTTTAAAATATTCTCCACCCAAGTCAGACCGTAACACTTTAATTGTAGACCCAAACTGAGTAGTAATCAGAGACTGAAAGATACAATATATCTGATGGAAATCAGACTTATAAGCCATAAGATAAACCCAAGTATAACGGGTGCAGTCATCAACAAATGACACATAATATGCAGAACCCTCTTTGGTGAGAACAGGAGAAGGGCCTCAAACATTAGTATGTACTAAAGAAAATGGTGTATCAGATATAGAATTACTTTTTCGAAAAGGTAAGGCTGTCATTTTGGCAAGGTTACACCCTCAACATTCAGTAAGTTCACTAGGAGAAACTTTACCTAATATATCAGACTGAGCTAAAGACCGTAAGTGATCAACCGAAAAATGCCCTAATCTAGAATGCCACAAGTAGAAAAGGCTGGATAGGGAATCCAACTGAAAAGAGGAAAAAGCAGTTGGAGAGGTTGTCATAGATAGATGCAATCTTTCCACTACATAGAGGTCTCCAACTCTACGGCCAGTCCCAATCTACTATTTAGACATCCGATTCTGCACAGAACAGATAGAAGAAGAAAAGAGAACATCAAAACTAGAGGCATCAAGCTGACTGATAGATAATAAACTGATAGATAACTAAGGAACATAAAGGATAGATGGAATAGAGACAACATACATAGCAGACGGTAAGACAAACCCAATAAATATGATAGACATACCAGACCCATTAGCAGCATTAACAGTAATAGAAAAATAAGGAGGAGTACAATTTGAAGTAAGAGAGATGGAGAGTCATATGATGAGAGGCACTAGAATAAAAATCCAGACAGATGAAGAAATACATGAAGAAAACCCAAGCAAACCTGAATGAAGAGAAGAAACAATGGAGACAGATGGGGATGGCTAGGAGATAGGCAGCATATGTTGAATTTGACTAATTTGAGCACTCAAGAAAGCCAAGTCAGGATCAAGAGTTGCAGCAGATGCTGTCCAAGTTGTGGGAGGAACGTAGAATTGATTCCAAGACTGTTGAAGAGATGAGGCAAGCAGATGTCCCTTCTTGGGACAATGATACTTCCAATGGCCCCATTGATGGCAAAATACACACTCATCTGATGATTTGGGCTTTGCAAGAGGCTAAAGCTAATGGGTATCCGACATCATAGGTGTATTCTTAAACAAGAACAACGAACGCATAACATTTAGAAGTCAAATAGGCCAAACTAAATCAGAGATATGAACTGTGGTCAAAACTGTAATAATGGAGAAACTCCAGAGCAGGGTTAAAATACCAAATAAGAGAACCTTCAGATGGGTCAAGACCTAGACCCAGATAGAGAGAGAAAGAGCCAAACCAGAGAATCAAAAGCCCAGAAGTCGACCGAGGCAATGAAGTTAATCGACAATGACAACAGATAGCTTCGAGTGGAGCTTCAGTCAAGATCGAAGTAGATGACCCACGAGGGATTGCGTCTGAGATAGACGAGTCAGACCAGACCAGACCATAGAACCAGACTAGTTGAATGACGATGACCCACGAAGTCGACCGAAGAGGGAGTGCGTCTGAGACAAACGAGGCAGACAAGACCAGAGAACCAGACCAGGCAAAACCCTAGGTTTGTTGGGAGGTGAACTAGAACCAGAGATCACGAACCAGTAAACCAGAATATTGCACGATGGCAGCTAGGGTTTGAAAACTAGCTCTGATACCATATAAGTTTTTTTTGAAAGAATCTGTATATTCAATTGTGTTTCTTTACAAAGAGGTCACCAATTTATATAACCCTAAACGTATGATTGAAAATGGAAAATACAAAAAAAGAAATATAGCCAAATAGTTACGCCACAATCTTTCTTAATTCTATACACAATACAATCTTCCCTAATTCTATACATAATATATTCTCACACATGTTATGCCAAAATCAACTCTAGAATAAAATTGAAAAAGCGAGATATGATTTGATAGCTTAAATTAAGTAATAGTTCAAAGAGTTTGTAATCAAGAATTCATTCCTTCTAGTTGTATATAAAATTTCTCAAATCAGTGCAGCTGTATATTGTAGTTTAATCCTTTTTATTTTTATTTTTATTTTTTTATTTGTTAACTTAGGAGTTCATGTTCAAAATCCAAATTGGGGAATTTCATTTACCAAACCTCTAATTTGTTGCAGGATGATGATATGGTCTTAGTGCTTCCTTCTATGCTACTTCTTCAACCTTGACGGCAGAGGCAAAGAGCTTGTCTGGAAGCTCTTAGATGGTTCAAGCATACATCAAGGGATATCTATGTGGTGTTCACTTGTTGACACATATAGTTCTACTTAATTTGGGAGGTTACTTTGGCTGGAGACTTATGTGGACTTCAATTTGTTTGGTTTATTGGAAAACATTAAAACTATATGGAATTTGTTTGCTTGTTTAAGTTTTTATTTTGTTGTTACTAAAGCTACTTGGTAGGTTGTTCATGCAACTCATGTTCTACCTAATAAGTCTTGTTTCAATAAGATAAGTTAGTTTGTTATGTACGTGTTTAGTTTTATATATTTATGGGTAAAATTATATTTGTGGTCTCTATAATTTTCCTTTGGAACCAATTTGGTCCATGTAATTTAAACTCTATCAATTTTTCCTTTTAGTTTTCATATGGTGTCAATTTAGTGTAATTGAATTCCTTAACAAATTTGACCGAAATGGAGAGCATGCAAATGGTCCATTCAGGAGGGAATAAGTTCTTTAAAATTAGATATTAATCCCTTAATCACTTTAAAAATAGTGAATGTGTTATTTTGTCTATTGAATTTAGTCAAATTTCTATAGTGAATGTGCTATTTTGCCCATTGGATTTAGTCAACAATGGCGCAGCCCATTGGATAGCAAAGGCTTTGTACACAAACTCTTTACCTTTTGATTGGGTTGTCAACCCCCCAATTGCCTTAAATTCGGTTCTTTCTTTAGATGCATCCCATTTGCCTGTTTAATGACAGGTTGGGAGTTTTTTTTTTTTAGACTAAATTGATACAAATAAATTACTTAATGGTAAAATTGATGCAATTTAGAACTAGAAAAACCAAATTGATAGAAGAAATGCATTTTGGGGACTACATGTGTTATTTGCCCTATAAACTTTTTTATTTTGAAAAAAAAAAAAGTAGCCTAGAAAATGCAACTCAATTTGAAGAAATTACAATGAGAGAAGGAAGAACCAGCATGGGTTAAACAAATATGATGTCAGCACCTTGTGCCAGGTTTTTTGTTTTGTTTTCTTTGTTTTTATTTTATTTTATTACCGTATATATATATATATATATATATGTATTCATGAGAGGAAGTTTTGAGGTGGAGAAATGTATGAAAAAAAAGACACATTTTTTTTTCTTGACCCAAGCCTTTTCCTAAACAATGTGTGAACATATAAAACCAAGAGTAATTAACATGAAAAGAGCAAGACCACCAATAAATTTTGGATTGAGATTCATCTCTTCCATCTAAGAATTGGAGATTGCCTATATGCCTAAAGCATTCAATGACAGGCTTCGAGTGGTCGATGACCAAGAAGGAGAGGAACAATAAGAATTTTAATATACCACAATTTTTGTATTTAATCTTTGATATTAAGATAAATTGACAAAGACAAGAAAATAGAAGAAAGTTTCAAAAACATAGGAGAGTGAAGATCAGTACTTCTTCCACTCATCTCTCTCCCTCTTTGTCTCTTTTTTTTTTTTTTCCCTTTTCTACATATGCCTATGACTTTTCCTCACTTGAATATTCACATGCAAGCTGTTCTTCTATTGGGAGTAGACTTGTTTCATATATTTTTGAAATTTATATCTACATGTCATTTATTTTCAATTGCTTATTGCTCCCAAGTCCTATACTGGAGCTCACAATATATAATTGTATCTACACCATACAATATTTTTGTTAGTATTTTTCTGTCTAAATTTTTAGTCTTGAGCATTATTCTCAAGACATCTATTTATCACTCTCTTATTCTTAATATTTATTTTTCACCATGGAGTGCTATATAGATGAAGCTATCAACTGCTACAATGAAAGGTGGAAAAAAAAAATTGTGTTGGTGAATTTCTTATTATTGTATTTGCATACTGGTCACATCCTACTTTATTTAACATGGGATTTAACTTTTAAATCTATATCTTATCTTTTTCTTTTACATATCTCCAAAATTATTTATGTAATAAATTAGGAAGGAAAAAAAATATTTTTACACGCAAGTTATCCTCTGTGGATTGTCGCAGACCCATCAAAATCATGAAAACAGGTAATTGCTCTTAGAAAAATTATGTTAGTGAATTTCTGATTATGGTATTTACATATTGATCACAGCCTACTTAACTTAATGTAGGGTTTAGGTTTAGCTTGTATCTCCATCTTATCTTTTCCTTTCACATCTTATCTATGGTATTAGCTAGCTAATAAATCAGGATGGAATTTTTTTATTACTACACAACAATTACCCACTATGAATAACCCATCAAAATCATGATAGTACATAATTTCTCTTTAAAAAAACTTAGGGACAGAAATAAAAGCTAAAGTATATTGAACTAGAATTAGAATTGGAGAGAAACCTTGCCCCTTTCAACTGGCATTAAATAAGTACTAACACTAACAGAGTAGTACTGCTATATTTTTATTCATCATTAGTAATGTAATGTTCCTATTCATTAGTATTGTCATGTTTCAATTTTATATGCTTATGTATGCTTATGTTCAAATCAATTCCAACTGAATGGAATTGAAAGCAATGTTGTTTGGGAGGTTCTTGTCACTGTAGGTATGAATTCTACGCATAGAGCTGGTGTTGACACAAAGGTTGTGATAGATGATTGTCATACATTTACTTGATATTTTCTCAACTCTTGTTGTGTTTATACTAGAAGATCTTGCACTAGGCAGCTCTTGGTTATAATTCATCTAGTTTTTCAATAAATTTTCTTTTGGTGACAAAAAAAGGAAAAAAAAGAAAAGAAAATGGGTTAAAATCAAGGAATCAATATTTCTCGGTACCTATTGGATTGCTTTAATTAGCTTCATACAACTCTTTTAATCTCTTTTTGAAACTATGAAATCATTATGAAGAGTTTGAGAGAAGTGTACTCAATTGATTGGTTAGAGATAATATTTGAAGAAACTACAATAAGAAAAGAAAGAAACTAGCCTGGGTTATATAAAAATTCTTTTTCCACGGACTTATGCTGATAATGAAAGAGGATGAAATCAGGAATTCATTCTTTCTTATTGCATATCAATTTGGTTTAACCAATGCAACTGTCCACTATTATTATTTTAATACCTTTTTATGTTTTCTTTTCGAAACTTAGTAATTGATAATGAAAAGTTTGATGGAAGTGTGCCCAAATTGAATATGATTAGGCCTAATCAAAATCTTAATCGAGGAATTTCACTTACCAGCTTGCTAATTTGTTGCAGGATGGATGACAGTGTCTTAGTACCCTGTAATGAATTAAGTTGTTCATCCCTCTATGCTCCTTAGCCATGATGGTTCAAGCAAATCGGAGATATCTGAGGTACATATGCTGACATATAGTTCTACTTTGTTTGGTTTAGTGCAAGACATTAAATTTGTATGTAATTTAATTGCTTGTTTGGTTTTCACTTTTGTGTTACTAAAGCTACTAAGTAGGCTATTCATGCACCTCATGTTCTAGCTAAGAGCATCAACATCAAACTCGGTATGTCCTTTTGTTAGCTGTTTGTGATGGTCAAACTCACAAATGGCATAACTTGCATATAGTACACACCATTTAGTATTTCCCAACCAAAATAAATAAAAAAATTATCTAGAAAAATAATTTGTAGTCCAAATTTAATTCTTATAGTGGAGCCCACATTTAGAATGTACCTTTATCCCCACATTATTTTTGTTCATATTTTTTCATGCCTGTATTTTTTGGTTCCTTGTAGTACTTTGGGAACATCTATTTATCTATCTTTTACTAATTAAATTTATTTCTCACCATGGAGTGCTATATAAATGAAGTTATCAATGGCTACATTGAAAGGAAAAAAAATTAGGTTAGTGAATTTCTCATTCTGTCATTTACATATTGGTTACAAACCTACTTTAGTTAACATGGGATTTAACTTTTAAATTACATCTTATCCTTTCCTTTTACATAGCTCTGGAATTAGTAATGTAATAAATTAGGAAGAAATTTTTTATTTTCACACAGCAATTACCCTCTGTGAATTATTGCAGGCCCATCAAAATCATGAAAGTAGGTAATTACTCTTAAAAAAATTAAGAAAATTTTTCCCTTAGAAAATAAAATGAAAGAGATTGAACCACACTTAGAATTTTAATTGATCATTACAAATGTCCTGTTCATATTCATCAGTACTGTCACGTTTCAATTTGATGTGCTTATGCTATGTTCAAATCCTTTCCAGAAGACCATAAAAATGAAGAAGAAGATAAAGATGATGAAGATAAAGAAGATAATCGAAGGCATTGTTGTTATGGGGGCTCTTGTCTTCGTTGAAGCCGAAGGGTTCAGGTAGTTATTCTTGAAAGTGAAGCTCAACAAGTTGTTTATGAGTTAAATTTTATGCATAGAATTGGCGTTGCAACAGAGGTTATGCTAGCTAATTGTCATATTTTGCTCTATCTTTTCGTAAATCTTCTTTTGCTTATACTAGAGGAACTTGTAATAGGTGGCTCATGATCATGAAGTAGCAAGGTTTGCATCCCCACTGATCTTAGGCTGGTTTGACCTTTATCTAGTTTTTCAATAAAATTTTCTTCAGTAGAAAAAAAAAGAAAAAAAAAATGAACAAGGAATCCAAAAGTTTGAAAAGTTTGACAAAAGTGTATGCAAATGACATGGTTAGAGCTAATAAAAACTGGAATCCAAACATTTTTCTTATTAATCTGGAGAGGAAACTTGGACCTATTAAGTTTTATTGAATAAGTACTAACACATTAGTATTGCCATGATTTTATTAATTAGTATTGTCATATTTTTTATTCATCAGCAGTGTCATGTTTCAGTTTTATACATTTGTATTATGCTCAAATCAATTCAAGAAGAAAAATTGAAAAGCAAGATATGATTTGATCGCTAAAATTTATGTAATAGTTCAAAGAGGATGAAATTTGGAATTCATTCTTTCTCATTGAACATCACATTGGTTCAATGCAGTTGTAGTTGCATACCATGATTTAATCCTTTTTAATTTTTCTTTTTGAAACATGGGTTGATAATAAAAAGTTTGACAGAAGTGTACCCAAATGAATATGATTAGGCCTAATCAAAATCCAAATCTGGGAATTTCATTTACAAATCTGCTAATTTGTTTCAGGATGATAAGAAGGTCTTAGTGCCCCAGAATGAATTAAGCTGCTCGTTTCTCTTATTTTGTTGGTTCTAATCCTCATTTTTGTGGTTTATCGAGAAGGTCTATCAAAGTTGCTATAGACAAGGCTAAGAAGCAATGCAGATTCAGCCTGGGTAGTGCATTCTTCTATGCTTCTTCAACCTTGATGTCCAGCTACTTCGAAGGGAGGCATATATGGTCTGTAATTTGTTTGGTTTATTGGGTTTGGAAGACATTAATTCTAGATGTAATCTTTGATGGAAATAGAGATGACCACACCATAATATAGTGTGACTCTCTGCATCCTATTATTTCCCATAGCTTGGTGATTGATCCTTCCCTCAAGGAGGATATAAATCTAGAAGGTTTGGTTTGAATTCAAAATGAAAAGACACAATTGTATGAAGCATAGTGACTACTGGGTTTGGAGACTCAATATCAATGGTTGTAACCATTGATAAAGAGACATCATGTAGCCTATAAATAGATGGCTGGAACAATGCAACTACACACTTGGAATTGCTAATTATTCTCTATTTGTTCTGACTTCCGGATTGTATATTCTTCTTACATGATAAACACCCTCATGGGGATTATCGATCTTTGCCATTGATTGTTTTTCCTTCAATTTTGCTTGTTAAGTTTTCACTTTACTGTTACTAAAGCTACTTGGTGGGCTATTCATACAGCTCATGTTCTTGCTAAGTTTGCTTTCAACAAGATCAGTAAGTTCTGTTATGTTCTTATTTAGTTTTATATATTTATATATGAACTCTCTTGTTTTCCTTTTTCTTTTTGAAGAAAAAGAAGTAGCCTTGAAAGTGCAACTCATTTTGGAAAAAGAAAAACTACAATGAGAATAGGAAGAACCAACATGGGTAAAAAAAAGAAAATTCTTTGTCAATGGATATTGCATATGAAAATAAGCAATTCAAACTATCTACATCAAAAAATATACAACTGACATAGCATAGCAAAACACATGATTGTTTTATTACATTTCCAACAATCCATACCATTAGGTAAGAAACTAATCACTAGCTGGTTATGTATTCTAGAGTATTTTCAATATTTATTCACATCTTCATCAAGTGAAGCAAGCGAAAAACAACTAGAAATGTCACAATTTTTAATTAGACTTTTCTAGTAGAGGCAATGAGGGATGAGATTTCTTTTCTGCGCTTTTGGAAATAAACAATCATCTTATCTCTGGGAGGTGTCCTTGATCACTGGATGGTTGAGAAAGTTGTTCATCCAAGTAGTGGTGTTTGGGAATTGGATTTGGTCTACAATTTTCATGGACCCAACTTCCTCTCAAACAGGAAGTCAATAAGAGATCCATCCAAGTGCAAGGTCCAAATACCCAATGCTTTCCCCTCCAAAAAACTATGTCTTCCCTTTGAGCTCTGCTTCTATCTTCTCTATGGCCTCAATGGATGCTTTTAGAGCTCTTTCCTTCTCCTCTCCCTCTGAGCACAGAGCCATCCATGCATTTTCCAAAAGCTATAACAAACATGCACCAAAAAATATTAACTATTCATTCAAACATTTAGGTTTAAAAAATAATAATAAATTAACAAAAAGAAGGGTAAATTACAAATACATTTGCTTGAAATATAAATTATCTCATGTGATTCTGAAAATTACATCTTGCTTATTTAAAATTTTAATTGTAGAATAAATGACCCATTTGATTAATTTATTTCATTTGGTTTGTAATAGCTAGTTAGTTAGCTTAAATTAGCTAGGGCAGACCCTCTTGTGCGAGGGCGAAATATGTAATATTGTGTATGTCTTCCAACCCCACGCCTTTCTCCCTTTTATTTTCCCGCTTATGATGGATAGTGTAGCACATCATGTTTTGTTTAGCATTTTCCATGTATAAAGCATTCATTTGTCTGGAATACATGAGGCTCAGCTCATCATGCTGACAAGCATTGTCATTTAAAAACTTCTTTGAAAACGTGCTTAAACCGCATGCTATCAAAAATTGATTCAAATGCCATATTTGTAACTGAGCCTATTAATTGCATCTTGCATGTGTCGCATTAGTCATTTTGCATTGGTTAGAGGCATGCATGTTTGCTAATTATTTTGTTTTGTTTTGGCTTGCCTTGGAGTAATAGGTGAGCACTTATTGCTTTAGCATATTGAATAAGTGTGCTTGTTGCCATGCCAAGCATGAATATAATGAGGCTAATTGCTTAAGTGATGTACTTGTTTGGATGCCTGTGGATAAAGGCTAAATTGCTCAAATTGGGATGATTTGATGAATGTACATATGAGATTAGTTTTTCAAGTGGTACATATTCAAAACAATTTCCAAACAAACATAGAATCAAAGTGTTCTAACTTTTGCAAATTAGTCTATACTTGTGTGCAACATATAGTAAAAATAGCCTAATAAATCAAAACAAGAGCATATAATGTAAATAAGTATCACATCATGATTAGTAGAGGCCAATCTTTGATCAGGCGAGTGGGGTGCTCAATTTATGATCTTCCCCTCTCGTACCTAAGTTCCCGAGCCGAGACACTTTGGTCATAACGAACATGTGGCCTTCGACATGAGTCATGGGTTTCCTAAATTTTTCAAAAATATTTAGGTGGCGACTCTGTAATCTGGCAAAGTAGTCTATTTTTGGCATTTTGATTCAAAATCGATTTTCCAAAAGAATTGCCAAATTTGGACTCATTTGTGTTTTTTTTTTTTATTTCACATTGCAATTGTGGAATCAGATTCAGAACCACAGGAGTGCGAACTGTAGGGCTAGTCGTATCTGGAAGGAGCACAAAAAGCAAGCTACAGTTTCTACTGACTCTGCTGGGGAAATTAGAGAACTTGACTTGAACTTCATGATGTGAAATTTTCTCTACACTTACGTGTTTTTTGCATTGCATTTGGATTGGTGCGCTTAAATTACTGTGTTTGCCATCTGCTATTCCTGGATGGTTTGCCAGGGGCTTGCCCAAAAGCTTGCTTTTAGGCTGACCAGTGGGCTCTGCCATGGTGGGAACACAACCCTTGGATCTAGACTACCGCTGCACCGTTTGATCCTCCTTTCACTTCTCAGTGTTAGGTGCGAGAGGTATATTAAGTAGTCTTGCTAAGGTACTCCCTTTGACCATTTGGCCTAGCTATATATAGTAAAGCTATAGTGATTGTTCCAACTTAAGACATGATGCTCACCCATATATAGGATTTTGTGAAATTACTTCCTTGAAGTTGTAAAACCCTAGACCATGCCAAAAGCTAGGACAAGGTAACCCTCCCCCCTTATAGGGGTGTTTTGGCTCTCTTTTAATTAATTAAATTTTAGATGAATTTTAAATAGTACTATAAATTAAAAAACAAAAAGTAAGGAGTTGTTGAATCTATTTCTTTTTATATTAGGACAAATAAAATGGAACTTTGGCAACAATCATTTTTAACTCATCTTTAATAATGCATTATAACATTATCAAAACTTAATTAGAACTGATTTTTCTCTCTTTTTATTCTTTTTTATCGGTCCAACAAAATAACATGCTTCATAGCCCAACAGGTAGTAATTTAAAAAAATAAAAAATAAACAGACAGGTGCATCCTTTAAAAAAAAATAAATAAATAAAAACTAACAGTAGTAAAGTATACCAAAATAGAAAAACAAAAAACAAAAAAACCACAAAAATTACAAAAGAAAAAAAAAATGGTGCTTACCATGAACCAAAAAATTCAGAAAAAAAAAGGAAAGAAACAAGTAAATAAGAATAGAAAGTAGTACATATACAACACAACTAAAAACCACAACATGCGTCAACCATTTATTTGCTCATCCAAACAAGTTAAGCATCATTGTCAGGTGGTGGTGGAGGTGGATGGAAGTAGTGATGGTATACCTGAGTGACTCGATGGTCAATCTGATCAATGCGATTGCTTGTCACTTCATCACGTCTTTCAGTGTCCCAGACGAAACTCACCAAACTGTTGAATTAGTGAGTTTTGAGCGGCAACAAATGCATCAAACCGATTACCCAATGTATTGAACTTATTAGCCATTAATTATTCCCATTGAATGCACTGATTGTGTCGTTCTTCTTCCAGCACCAAATAATCCATCAAGTATTGGGGTTGTTCATTTTGTGGCATGGCATTCTCCTTGGGATCTTTGGGAGCATCATCTATTAACATTAATGGATCCCAATAAGTTATCTGCGCCACCAACTCGGGTCAGTGTATACTCTGAAATTGGTGAAGTGATTTTCACATTTGCTTCACTTACAAGGCTAACATGACAAGCTTTGAAAATTTTGGTTAGCAGAGCTCCAAAAGGTAGTGACCAGCCACTAAGAGTACCAAGATTTGCAACCACCATTTTCTTCAGTAGTATGTAGCATAAATCCAATGTTTGTCCAACTTCAAAACAAAAGGCCTCAAATTAGGACACCTAACAAAAAGTTATAAATTAATTAATTCATCCACTTTATGATAAAACAAGCTTGCTTTAGATTTTATCATCACCATTGATGTAATTCATAGAACTTACCCATCTGCAACATAAGTTAATGCTTCATCTGTAAGACTACGGTTGGGAAATGACAGATATGTGGCACATCTATCACTACGATTGACGACAAACTTCATCATAGAGATGGAGCAAAACTTTATTTCATATTTATACATTAATCGTGCAGTTGAGACTTGAGAAAAATTAAGTCGTCGCCAGCAAAGAGAATTGAGTGTGGCTTTGAACCATAACTTGCACACAAAGGGAATGCCTAAAAGTAGTGATTCAATTCCAACTCTCCCAAGCACATTCACCAAGCAATCCATATTCAATTCCTCCCATTTTTTTCCTTCCATCTACACCCACAAACCCCATAAAAAAAAAATACTATATGTTATACATTCCCAATAAATAAAGAGAAAAAAGGAAGGGAAAAAAAAAAAGAAACAAATGTTTCAAGAACAGATTGTAAAGTCTCATAGCCAGAGTATATAGAAAAGTTAATCATCATAATTAGAAGCAATAGAATAAAGTTTGAACACTTGGAAATCATCTAGAATGTAAAATGCAAGTAAAGAGAGAAAATTTCAAAAGTATTACTTGTAAAAGGAAAGATACACCAACTCTTCAAGCATCTGATTTTGGGTTACTCAATCGAATCAAATGTGTATGTATTATGTGTGTGTGCGTGTGTGCGAAACTATATATATCCCCTGCCAGTTGAAAAGTCTGGAAGATATATCGTTGATTGGTTGATGTATGAGAGAGATAAACTAACTCTGAAATGGTGGAATTTTTTTTTTTTTTTGGTTTGTGAAAAGAAGGGAATCGAGAAAAAAAAATAATAATAATAAATAAATAAATAAATAAATAAGGGGATGGGGATGAAATGATGAGCATGGGGATGATGAAGATATAATGATGAATAAAAAATAATAAAGGTGGGAAATAAAAAGAATGGGTCATGTGGGTTGCTTGGTGTGTGGTTTTGGTGTGTTTTTACAAAAAAAAAGAAAGATAAAATAAATAAAGAAAGAGT